AACCCGCCACCTTAGGTGTATGTGGCTGGCGCCTTAGCCGCTTGAGCCACAGGCACCGAGCCTAAACTTTCATATACACACATACTTGTAAGGGTTTCCCCTTGGGGCAGTAGTATTATAGGTATTGTATTTTCTTTGCATATTTTCTAATTCTTCTACAATGACCTTTTTCCTGGTTGTTTTAGAAAAGAATCAACAAAAAAACTGAGACTAAGGATTCAATTAAAAAGATGAAAATTAACTTTTTATTCTTTTTACTGGTCTTACTTACCAGTATTTTTCATGACTGATGTTAGGCTACTAAGGATGGAACTGATCTTAGCCAGATCCACATTAGCCAGATTTGGCAAAGCCAGCGCTGGGGTTGGGGACAGAAGAGAAGTATTCGAAGGCTTTGGAAGAGATGGAGTTGCTGTCAGGGTTGCAGGCACTGGAGCACATGCAGAGGCCTTGGAGGTGCTTTCTGCTGGCTTTGCAGGCACAGAAGTGGAGGTAGCTGACTTCTCCACAGGTTTTTCCTTCCTGTCCTCCACTGTTTCAACAAAGAAAAGAGATATTACATCTTGCTACTTTCTAGAAGTTGCTTCTAATATAACATGTTGTAATATTGCCCGATTTGGGGGCAAATAGCATTATTCTGGTGAAAACTATCGACCACTCACTTTATGCTTTTTTTAAAAAAGTCACATTCTTCATAATTTATGATCACTGCTACCTTCAATACCTGCTTGAAAGGTGTTTTCAGAATTTATTTTGTATCTTACTTTTTTTATTTTTTTGAGACAGAGCTTCAGTTTGTCACCCTCAGTAGAGTGCCATGACATCATAGCTCACAGCAACCTCAAACTCTTAGACTCAAGCGATTCTCTTGCCTCAGTCCTCTGAGTAGCTGGGATTACAGGCGCCCACCCAGAACGCCTGGCTATTTTTGTTATTGTTGCAGTTTTCATTGCTGTCTTAGCTGGCCAGGGCTGGGTTTGAACCCGCCACCCTCAGTGCATGTGGCCGGCATCCTACCCACTGAACCACAGGCACTGCCTGTACCTTACTCTTTTTTTTTCTTTTGAGGCAGAGCCTCAAGTTCTTGCCCTGGGTAGAGTGCTGTACTGTCACAGCTCATAGCAACCTCAAATTCCTGGGCTTAAGCGATTTTCTTGCCTCAGCCTCCGAGTAGCTGGGACTATAGGTGCCCACCACAACGCCTGGCTATTTTTTGGTTGTAGTTGTTATTGTTCGGCGGTCAGGGCCAGATTCAAATCCACCAGCTCTGATATAAGTGGCTAGTGCCTTGGCCGCTTGAGCTACAGGCACCACCCCTGTATCTTATTTTTTAATGATTTCTTTCTATCTTCTTAGTAATTACATTCTAAATTTGTATGTTTCAGGAAGCATGCCATTATTTGCTACACATGTTGTTCTATCTTTTGCGAGTAATATTTTTCATACATTGTCCTGTTTTTCCTTTACTTATAAATGTTCTCAGAGACATAAACTCTGTACATACTCATTGTATTTTCCTTTGGCTTCCTGAAACTGCTATACTGTGTGGCCCAATTAGGCACTAATTTGAAACTGCAATGTTTGTTTTAACTCTCGATCACTTTGCAACATACTCCTTTTGATATTTTAAAGTCTATATGATGAATAGTACATTAGATACAACAGAAGTCAAACCATATGGTAAGAATATTTATAAAGGCTGGGGACGTAAGATAAACAATTCACCAGTTTAGGTTAGTTCACTCTACCAGGGGTGATGGAGCAAGACTTTGTCTCAAAAGCAAACAAACAAATCAAAACAAAAACAAACAAATAGAAAAAAAATGTAAGTTTAAATTTTCTTGAAGCCACTTTAAAAAGAACAAATAGAGTGGCCCCTATGGCTCAGTAGGTAGGATGCCAGCCCCATATACTGAGGGTGGCAGGTTTGAATCCAGCCCCAGCCAAACTGCAACAACAAAATAGCCGGGCATTGTGGCCGGTAGTCCCAGCTACTTGGGAAGCTGAGGCAAGAGAATTGCTTAAGCCCAGGAGTTGGAGGTTGCTGTGAGCTGTGACACCACAGCACTCTACCGAGAGCAATATAGTGAGACTCTGTCTCTAAAAAAATAAATAAATAGAAAGAACAGATACACGGCTTGGTGCCTGTAGCACAATGGTTATGGCGCCAGGTTAACACACCAAGGGTGCCAGGTTTGAACCTGGTCTGGCCCAGCTAACCAACTGCAACAGAAAAACAGGTGGGTGTTTTGGCAGGCGCTACTCCCAGCTACTTGGGAGGCTGAAGCAAGAGAATCACTTAAGCTCAACGGTTTGAGGTTGTTGTGAGCTGTATGCCATGGCACTCTACTGAGGGCAACCTAGTGAGACTCTGTCTTGAAATAAAGAAATAAATAAAACATAAAAAAAGAATAGATACATTTAATTTTAATAATTTATCTTAATATATCCCAACCTTTTCATTTAAGTAAGCTATAAGCATAAAAATTATGAATAAGATATTTTGGGAGGTGCCTGTGGCTCAGTGAGTAGGGTGCCGGCTCCATATACCGAGGGTGGCGGGTTCAAACCCAGCCCCGGCCAAAATGCAACAAAAAATAGCTGGCGTTGTGGCGGGCGCCTGTAGTCCCAGCTACTTGGGAGGCTGAGGCAGAAGAATCGCCTAAGCCCAGGAGTTGGAGGTTGCTGGAGCGACTCCGCTGCACTCTACCGAGGGCGAAAAACTGAGACTCTGTCTCTACAAAAAAAAAAAAAAAAAAGATATTTTCACTTTTGGGATGGGTACAAAGTTTCTGGAATATGTATATTTTCCAGAATGTATATTTCTGGAATAATGTATATTTTATACTTTATAGCACATCTAAAGTTGAACAAGCCCAGTTTCAAATGCTTAATAGCCAAATATAACTTGTGGCTATTATATTAAAGAGTGCAGATACTGGGTAATGATTCTTTTTTTTTTGAGACAGAGCCTCAAGCTGTCCCCCTGGGTAGAGTGCTGTGACATCATAGCTCACAGTATCCTCCAACTCCTGGGCTCAAGCGAGTCTCCTGCCTCAGCCTCCCAAGTAGCTGGGACCACAGGCACCTGCTACAACGTCCGAGTATTTTTTAGTTGCAGCTGTCATTGTTGTTTGGTGGGCCTGGGTAGGATTTGAACCTGCCACCTTAGCCACTTGAGCCACAGGCGCCGAGCCTGGGCAATGATTCTTAACCCATATGGCATATAAATAACTACTGCTCTAGAGACAATAATGCTACCCTGGTGTTCTAATCTTATAAGAATTAAACTATCTTTGAATACTTGCCTGTGATCAACTTATTCTTGGGAAAGCAAAATCGATATGAAGTTATTTATTTATTTGGGTTTTTTTGGCCAGGGCTGGGTTTGAACCCACTACCTCCGGCATATGGGGCCGGCGCCCTACTCCTTTGAGCCACAGGCACTGCCCTATTTATTTGTTTTTTGAGACAGAGTCTCACTATGTCGTCCTTGGTAGAGTGCTGTGGCATCACAGCTCACAGCAATCTCCAACTCTTGGGGCTTATGTGATTCTCTTGTCTCAGCCTCCCAAGTAGCTGGGACTACAGATGCCCACTACAATGCCCGGCTATTTTTTTGTTCAGTTGTTGACCTGGCCTGGGCCGGGTTCAAATCTGCCGCCCTTGATGTATGTGGCTGGCGCTATAACCACTGTGCAACGGGCACCGAGCCAGAAGTAAGTTGTTTATTAATTACCTAAGGACATACCAATGATTTTTGACCCATCATCTTCCACATCTGAGAGTTCCATGTCTTCCACATCACGATTATCTCTGACAGGTTCAGGTGTGGCAGATTTCTCACTCTCCATGGTTGGTGACTGGGATTCCTCACCCCCCATGCCCTGAAAAGGAGACTCAGAACCAGTTGGGGAGGGAGCATCCATGCTTGGGGAAGGGACTGGTGATTCTTCAGGATCAGGAAGGGTTGACTTTAACTGATCCAACTTTTTCTTTAAATTGTTAACTCGGTTAGCAAAGGTTTTGTATGCCTAAAAAAGAAAAAAGAATTTACTCCTTTGGGAACAGAATAAAGAAGTTACATTTTAACTCTCATTAGATTTTCTAATTAACATTTATCAGCACAAAACAAGAGATTATCATCTTTCCAATGACACAAAGTAGTTTCTAATCTCTACGTTTTGTATTCTATACAAGTCCCTGAGTTAGAAACCTAGATCTGTAATTTATCTTCCTCACTTCTGTTTGTCCATTCAACAAAGCACTGCCTATGAGAGCCTAAGTATGCTGATCACTCTTCTTTTTTTTTCTGAGATAGACTCTCACTTTATTGCCTTTGGTGGAGTACCATGGTGTCACAGCTCACAGCAATATCCAACTCCTGGGCTTAGGCGATTCTCTTGCCTCAGCCTCCTGAGTAGCTGGGACTACAGGCGCCCACCACAAAGCCCAGCTATTTTTTTGTTGAAGTTTGACAGGGGCTGGGTTTGAATCCGCCACCCATGGTATATGCAACCTACTCACTGAGCCACAGTTGCTGCCCAGCTAGCTGATCACTCTTTTCTGTACTCGAGACAAGACAGACAAAAATCAAATCCAAAAAATAAAGGATGGCCTGGAAAGTCAAATCCCAATGATTTTTTTAAAAAATAAGGGCAGGTGTGGTGGATAACACCAGTAATCCTAGCACTGAGAGGCTGAGGTGGGAGGACTACTTGAGCTCAAGAGTTCCAGACCATCCTGAGTAAGAGCAAGACCCCTGTCTCTACTAAAAATAGAAAAAAACTACTGGGCGTGGTGGCAGGCACCTGTAGTCTCAGCTAGTTGGGAGACTGAAGCAAAAGGATCCCTTGAGCCCTAGAGTTTGAGATTGCTGTGAGCTAAGGCCAGAGTACTCAGGCCTGGGTGACAGGGCGAGACTGTCTCAAAATAAATAAAATAAAAAAATAAGCATTTTAGAATGGAATGGTTTTAGGTATGCAAAATTACTGCAAAGATAGTATAGAAAGTTCCCACATAAGCCTAAACAAGAGTGAGACCCTGTCTCTATTAAGAATAAGAAAAAGTGGCTCGGTGCCTGTGGCTCAAGTGGCTAAGGC